TGTCTAGGTACGGTCGGCAGACTCTGTTCATCAAATCCATGAAGATTGCCGGAGCATTTGTTAATCCAAAAGGCATGACTAGAAACTCGTAATGACCGTATCGAGTCCTAAACGCCGTCTTAGCAATGTCTTCTTCGCAAACTCTCATATGGTGATATCCTGAACGAAGATCGATTTTTGAGAAGTACGTAGCACCTTGTAATTGATCAAACAAATCGTCGATTCGAGGGAGGGGGTAACGGTTTTTGATGGTCAGCTTGTTGAGTTCTCTATAATCAATCCACATCCGGAAAGATCCATCCTTCTTTTTGACGAATAGAACCGGAGCTCCCTAGGGTGAAGAGCTAGGTCTGATGAATCCTTTATCGAGCAGCTCCTGTAGTTGTTCTGATAATTCCTGCATCTCCGATGGTGCTAATCGGTAAGGCAACTTTGCCACGGGTGCAGCTTCAGGAACCAAATCAATATGAAACTCTACTTGTCTGTGCGGGGGTAATCCAGGTAATTCATCTGGAAATACCTCAAGAAAATCTCGCACTATCGGGAGATCCTGAATACGCTTCTCTTTGATCTCCCTATCCATAACATGTGCCAAAAATGCAACGCAATTTTTCCTCATGTAATTTCGCATTTTCATACATGTCACTATTTTAAGATCCCTCCTTGGTTTCTCTCCGTGTAGTTCGAGTATTCTTCCTTCTGATAGTGGTATACGAATCTTCTTTTCAGCACAACAAATTTCGGCTCGGTTTTCAGACAACCAATCCATACCCACGACTAAATCAAAACTTCCTATTTTGATTGGGATTAGGTCAATAATAAAATTCGTTTCTACCAAGTTTAGAGTGCAGTTCTTGATCACATCTCTGACCTTAACTTTCTATCCGCTAGCATATTCTATTATATGTACTTCGTTCAACTTTTGGGGTCTTATGTTTATCTTTGGCCTAAAATCTAGCGACACATAATTCCTATCTGCTCCAGAATCAAAAAGTACGGATGCAAGATGATTATTTAGGAGAAACGTACCTGTGACCACATCAGGATTTCGCCTTGCTTCTTCTGCCCCAATTTTGAACACTCGACCTCGTGCCTGACCCCCTTGGTTCCCTTGATTGGTTGGTCGTGCTTGATTTGTGTAGGGCCTTTGATTTCTCTTAGGACAAGCGCTTCAGAAATGATTTGGGCTTCCACACTCAAAGCAAACCCGTCCTTCTCCGGCTCTGCAATCCTTCGCAACATGTCCTATTCTCTTGTACTTAAGACATGTGATACATCTCCCCAGGTGCTGTTTGTTGCACTTGTCACACTTTGTGTATGATCCTTTCCCTTTCTCTGTCGCCGGTGCCTGAATTCCATAGTTTCCTGATACTTTCTGCACCTTACCCATCCTTCTTCCAAACTGTCTTCTAGCAGGTTCCTCCATTATCCTCTTTCCTCTTGCCTTGTCACTTGTGAATGCTCCCGAGCGGTTTGCATTGTTGGTGAGTCTTGTCGCTAACTTCACTACTTCTTGTAGGGTTTTCGGGTCAGCCAAAGTCACATTCCCTCTGATTACAGGAGACAAGCCCCAAACGTATCGATCAACTCGGTTCTGCTCGGGCTTCACCAAATGTGGCACCAATTTGGCTAACTCATGGAAACGTGCAGTGTATGAGTCCACGTCATTTCCCTTCATCTGATGGTTCCACAATTCTGCTTCTAGTTTCTGGATCTCATTCCTTGGACATTACTCCTCCTTGAGCATTTTCTTAAACTCTTCCCATGATAGTCTATTGGCTGCATCTCGGCCTCGAGTTTGTACCTGTGTGTTCCACCAAGTCAACGTTAGTCCTTGCAGAAGACAAGCAACGAATTCCACCTTGTTTCCTTCAGTATATTTACTAATATGGAGGACAAATTCCATTCCTTCTGTCCAGATTAACAGTCCAACCGCTCCTTCAGTTCCATGAAATTCCTTAGGGTTACAGGTTCGGAACAACTTAGACATGCATTCCCTATCTCTATTCGTGCCTGTTCCCGGGTTGTTTTCTCGGTTAGCATTCAGACCCGCCGCTACTTGGCTTACTATGTTTGGGAGTGCTGCTAGTACCTGCTCAG